TGTAGCTTAGGTCTGACATGGGTGGGGCCACCCTTGAGGATGGGGCAGCAAGTAGTTTCTTCTTGTTGGCTGTGACTTTGGAATTATATAGTTCCTGATTTAAAAAAAACTTGGCAGTGGTTGTAGTGTGCAGGATTTCAGGTTGAGCAGTTACTGGATCAAGGTGTTAGGCGCCATGCTGGATTCAGAGGTACAGGAATAGGACAGTCTGTCTCTGCCAGTCTTCCTCGCTCTGATTGGGAGCAGGCCCTAGGTCCTCAGGGACACCCACTCAAAGGGAGACCCTCCAGCCTTCCTGTTCAAGGGACGGTTGACAGTTTTGACACATGTCATGTGGGTGCCTGTATTGTTTTCTGGGGTAGGGTCCTCATTATGTAGTTCTGGTTGGCCTGAAACTCACTCTGTAGCCCAGGCTGGTCTCAAATTTTGTGAAATCCTGCTGCAGCCTCTCAAGTGCTTGGATTTCAAGCCTTCCCACCATGCCTGGCTCTGGTGCCAGCATCTTAACAGTTACACATTCTCTGTGTGGGTATAATCTTGAAGTGAGGTACAGCAGGAGAACTAAGTGGTTTGGCCAGTGAATCTCAGTGTGTTTTTTTGATAAGTTACAAGACGATGACTCATGGTGAAAGTATAAGCAGGATTTGAATTGTGAAACTGCAGGATGCTTGAAGAAATTGGGTAAGTAGGTGTCTCAATCTGCTTTTTGTTGCTATTTATGACCGAATACCACAGACTAGGTCATTTATATAACAAACGTTTGCTTAGCTCATGGTTCTGGGGGCCCAGAGGTCCAAGGCAAAGGGCTCTGTCTAGTCAGAGACTTCTTTTGAAAGGTTCCATTGAGATGCTGCCTGGAACTCAGATTGCTGGGTTTACAGTCTAGAGTGCTAACCATTACTCTGTGGGATTCACGAGACCTTCTTGCTGGCAGGGTCTCGAAGTGGCACAGGGTGCCACATGGCAAGAGGAGTACCTCAAGAGATGGAGACAAAGCATTGCTTTTATGGCAGACCTGCTTAAAATGACCTGTTAGCCCATTAATCTATGAATGGGTCAGTTACACAGGAGGGTAAAGTAAATGTCCACTCTGACCAATCTGAAACAAAGTTTTAAATCTCAGCCTGAGTCTTGGTGGGGTTGAGCCATATTCAGACCATATCCTGGCTTCCAGCATGACACTGCTAAATGCATTAGTGGACTGGGGATGTATGTGTAGTCCAATCAGGTGTAGAGGCCCCTTTCCCCTGAGAGGCCTGTGGAATGTTCGACGGAACATTTTTTGCTGTAAACACATCTTTTTGAGATGAGTTTGGGGACTAATTGTGTCAGGATCATATCTGACGGGCTGTAATTGTGATCTTACTCAGAGAGTATATGTTAACCTAACTAGACTTCTGTGTTATTTTCCTGCCTTCCTGGGGAGCTCACCGTGCTGCATCCAGTTTGATCTTGTGACTGCTGTATCACAAACAAACAAAAAATCCAATGCATGCTTTGTTTTTGTTTGTTTTTTTTTTGGTCTTTTTGAGACAGGGTCTCCCTGTAGCCCCAGCTGTCCTGGAATTCACTATGTAGACTAGGCTGGCCTTGAACTCACAGAGATCCACCTGTCTCTGCCCCCCTAGTGCTGGGATTAAAGGCGTGTGCCACCAATGCATGTTTTAAGCAAAATACTTGGTCTTTTTATGGCTGAGGCCTTGCAAATGGCCATGTGTGGGTGAATGGAGCAGAGCTTTCAAACCTGCCCATGTTACAGACCAAGGCACCGATGTTTAGGGCAGTGGCTCAGCCCAGGCTCAGCGCAGCTCCAGAACCCGAGTCCTGCTGTTCTTCCTTCACTCATTCATTTGCCATTAGGAAGTGATGCCCCTAAGCCTGGGGATCACCTGTCCTCCAGCAGAGTAATGGTTGTAATCAAGTTAGCTGGAAACTTGACAAGACCCTGTCTCCATGTTAGGGGTTTGCATGACCCACTGGGGTTAGTATGGCCCAATGGGAGATACAGTCATTTCAGGAAGTAGCCTGTTGGGGTGGAGCTAGATTTGGAAGGGAGTGAGGGTGATGGGGCCTCTATACCCACCCAGTACCAGCTTTGCATGTGAGCAACTGTTGTTTGGTGGGTCCTTCCTCCAGTTTCAAAAGCCTCAGATACACCTTTGCTGGTTCCTTTCATGGTTTGCCTTGCCTGATATAATCTCGTTTGGGACAAAAGGCAGGGAGCACTCCCTTGGGAAGTGGGGAGACACCTCACACTGGAAGCTGACAGTGCCTCCAAGCTCGCTGTATGCACAGTGGTGCCTACATTCAGGTGTCATGTGTGTTCTTAGTAGAAAAAGAAAAATGCCTACAGAAATAGAAGAAGGAAGTGATGCAGGAGTACATTCTAGAAAGAAACTACTCCTGTCTCAGCCTGCATTCGGGCCCTGCATCTGCTTGTGTGTGGATGTGACAAACGCACATGTCAGAGACTCAAACACAGACCTCATACACAGATGGTCTCTGACTTAAGATGGTTGAACTTGTGCCTTTTTTCTCCCCTTAAGATGGTAGGAAAGTGATGGGCATTCAGTAGAAACTGTACTTGAATTTTGAACTTGGCTCTTTTCCTGGACTAGTGTGTGGTGTGATCTTATCTCCAGTATAAGGCAGTGGTAGCCAGTTCTGCTCTGGTCAGGCAAGTGGCTGCAAGGGGACACAGCTGACCTCTCTGGTGTTTCTGCCAGGTTGTTTTCCAGGTTAGGTATATTAAGCTCATTTAAAAATAATTTATGGGTCTAGAGAGATGATTCAGAGGTTAAGAGCCCTGGCCGCTCTTGTAAAGGTTTGATTCCCAGCACCCATATAGCAGTTACCAACCATCTGTAACTCCAGTTGCAGGGGAATTTGATGCCCTCTTCTGACCTCCACAGGCATTGCATGACATGGATGTACTTGCATACATGCAGGCAATATACTCATACACATAAAAAATAAATAAAATATTAAAAATAAAATAATGTTTCATATATTTACTTTTCATTTGTGTGTCTGTGTGAGTGTATGCCATGTGTGTGCAGGTACCCATGGAGGCCAGAGAGGGTGTCAGATCCTTGGGAGCTAGATTATAGGTGATCATGAGGTGCCCAACGTGGAAGCACTCTTAACTACTGAGCCACCTTTCCAGGGTCCAACTCTGTTTTTGATTCATGGCATTTTCCACTTTAGATGGGTTCCTCAGGGATGTGCCCCATTGTAAGTGGAGGGGCACCTGTATGCTTTGTGTGCTCGTGCTGTTGGGCAGCCTTGCTGGCCTTCACATTTCTAGGATGCATTTCTATGATACCACCTCCCAGGCATCTGCAGAGCTGTACACATCACTGAACTCTTACCTGGGTGTTTGCCAGTTCACAAATGCAAATGCTGTTGAGGGGCACCCTTGGCCACAGGTCCTGTGCCATATACTCTTGCTCATTCTCTTAGTGTCCCTCTCAAGTACTGATGGGTCACATATGTCAGGGCTCCTAAACGTTTGTCATATCTACTCTGTGTCCTCTGAAACCAGGACTTCGTTTTTGTTTCAATGATACTTGTACAAAACCTTTTTGGAAATTTCTATCTATGTGTTCTAATAGATAAATAAAAAAACATCTTGTTTAGAGTCTTCTAGTCTGAGTCCTGAGGGGTTTCCGGTTCTACTTTCTGAGGGTCATCAGGACCTCCCTGGAGTTTACAGATCCAGGGGTGGGTTGGGAAGGCAGGAGGGCAGGACCTGGAGGCAGAAGGACTTCCTCAGCTGGGAGTGTGCAGTTAAGGTAATGGTCATTTTGGGGTAGGTCACTTGGGTAGCTATGACAGGCAGCATGTCAGTGACTCCACAGGGCCCTTGGAGGGAGCCCTGGCTCTGTCATCTGGAAAAGGAGAGGAACAGCCTCCACTAGTCTAGGAAGAAGGAACTAGGGAGAGTGGCCACATGAACACCTTGGATATCTTGATGCCTAAAACTGTGGGTTCTGGCCTCTGCTTGAGAGGTAGGGGGATCCTGTTTGTGGTTTGGGGGTTCCTGGGAGGCTTTGAGTTGGGCTGAGTCTGGGAAAACAGCCATTTCGATCTTCTTGTACCATTTATTTTCTGTCCCTTCAGTCACACTGAGTGGGTGGCTGCAGGTGTAAGTTAAGGGGTGTATGAAGCTTCTAAATGTCAGTGGGGTACATGGTGGAAGTCCACAGGGCTCTGCTCCAAAGTAGACCGACTGTCTAGCCTCTTGGTGCATTGCCACCCTGTGTCACTTGATACTAGGCAGGAAGAACACTCCTGAATGCCATGGAGGGGAATGCCTGAGTGTCTCCTTCCTCTTCTGCTGCCTTGATGGGACCTGTCCCTTGTGAGCCCCAGCCTTACTTCTGAGATGGTAGAGTCATTTTACTCATAGTTTCTGGCTGTAGCTCCTGCAGTAGTGTGTGTGTGTGTGTGTGTGTGTGTGTGTGTGCGCGCGCGCGCGCACTCGTGCGTGTGTGTGTGTGTGTGTGTGTGTGTGTGCGTGTGTGTGTGTCCTTGGTGTTTAATAGCACCCTTGTACACCCACTGTGAACTGTAATTAGAACCCAGAGGCTTTTCTCTCTGTGGTAGGTGTTTAAAGAGAGTCGACACAGCCAAGAGTTGCTGCCACATTTCTGGTACCACAGCTAACACTGATGGGGTGCCTCCTCTGTCCCTTTTGTGTTGTGGAGTTTGTGGCTGTCTGGCCCAAGAAGGTGGTGGTCTCTCCATCCACTGGCTGCTGCTGTTTCACAGAATTGTCTCAGTGGGCAACCTGAAATACCCTGATATGGTACACATCTTTCCAGCTGATAAGGAGGGCCAGGAGTATCAGCGCTTGCTTACCATTGATGATCACGCTGTGAAGCACCTGTCATTGTTTCTCCTGGTGGTAGTGGTGATGGCACTGCCAGGTGGTGGAAGTGCCATGTGGGCTGGTATGGAAGGATACTTCAACATGATTTGTGTTTTGTTATGTGCAGGCTCCTGGGACTCCTAGACCATCTGCTTCTCTCTGCTGTGACAAGCCCTCAAGGTGAGTGTCCCTGTGAAAAACACATTCCTGTGTCTTTGACCAAGGGTTGGAACTGATCTCCAGAGAGGAGACCAGGGCATCCTGTTATTTATTTTGTAGCAATCATAATGCTTTTGGGGGCATGCTGGGGATTGTGCCCCTAGCCTGGCTCATGCTAGGCAGATGCTCTACTCTTCATCCCTAGTCCCCCCTCCCCTTTTCTACTTTAAGAATTAATAATCAACAGGAATATATATCAGGTTTGTATACATTTCTGAATTTGATTTTTGCCATCAGAAACTTGGGTTATGCAAATACATGTGGTCATCTTTCTGAAGATATGATATTGCTTAGGTCTGTTGTAAGATCTATGCTGTATGATTGCGTGATGCTAGTTGTGAAGGATGGGTTAGTATTCCTCAGAGGATGGTCCCTGTCAGCAGGGCCATGAAGGTGATCCTTAACCCAATCTGCATGCCAGAACATATGGGAGGTCCCTCTGTATGAACTATAGGTGAACACATTATTATTAATAATTATTTTAATTAGTGTTTGACCAGGTTTGTTTTTTAAAATAACCCAAACTTTCTTATGTCCGTGTCTGAAGGGTAATATGCAAAAGAAAAAAAAATCTTGAAACATGTTTAAACAAATCAACTGTAGCAAATGTTTAAACAAATCAACTGTAGAAAACAAATTTATGATATTGAACATTTAGTGTTTGTTATTTCTACTTTTTGGTTTAATAATGGCATTATAGATAATTTAACAAAACCTTCTAAAGAACAATACTACTGTTTTTGTTATTATTAATTATTATTGTTAGTATTAGTATTAATTATTGTTATTTTGAGACAGGTTCCAGCTTGCCTGGAATTCACTATTGTAGACCAGGTTGGTCTCCATTCCACCGAGTTTTGCCTGCCTCTGCCTCTTGAGTGCTGGGATTAAAGGCATGCTCCATCATACCCTATTGGCTACTACTGAGTGTTTAAAAATGAAAAATATCTAAGATTGCTCAAAGCAGTTGGAAGAGTAGAGGAGATTGCTGGTGCTGATAGGAGAAGCCAGCCAAGTGCTGGTGGAGACTGCTGGCCATTGGTGATTGTGAAGGGACAATGGGGACAAAACATGTCCAGTGCTGGTGATTTGAAGTGGTGGATGAATGCATGGAGGTTTGCGGAATCATTTTTTGTGTTTTGAATTTTTCTGAACATCAAAGAGAAATAGATTGAGGAACACATACACAGGAAGAAAAGCAAAGAAACCCAGACAAACCCAACACTGTAAGTGGTGTGGCCCCATCAGTGGATGGAGGACACCCTACTCTTGTTTCACTTACATTGCCACCTCTCGGATTTGGCCTGTGCCCTGTCTCTTGGACCCCTCATTCATCCTGAGTGCAGCTCACATAGGGCTTTGCTGGGGCCCAAATCGTGCCCACCCTACACCCTGCAGATCCTGTCTGATAGAGGAACCACCGATCTCATCGTGTGGCTGCTGTGCCTCCTCCTTAGCTCATCCACTATCTGGGGCTGGGTCCAGCCTAGTCTCTAGACTTCCTGTTCACTCTTCTCCCACTTGTTCTGTCTACCTCAACAACCCCTGAGCTGCTTACTGCTGTTGGCATCTGTGGTCCCTGCGAACACCACACCTTTTGTCTGTGACGTGCTTTGTCCAGCTGTCACCTGTTGACCCTGATGCCCTAGAATCAGGATCGAAGCTCCTTCTTCAAGAAGCCAGTCTTTGGGCAAGCTCTGTGGAGCCTGCCATGCCTCCCTGTGTGCCCGCATGTGTTCTCTCCAGGTCTCTGCTCCATTGTTCTGAGCATTTTCTCTGCTTCTTCTTAGTAGCTAGGGGCTTGTATTGTCCTTCATGGTCTGCTTTAGAGCCTATGCCCTCCATTGAGTGGAGAATGGTACCATAATGAGTTTCCTAAGGAATAGCTGCTCTAGCCTCCACCTGGAAACCCTGGAGAGAGCGTTCATCATCCTTTTTCTTGCTTCCCCTTTGCCAACCACCTCCTCCTCTCTTGCAGGGCCCTGGTCTTGAGCCCAGCCATGGAAGACAGCCATGAACTGGACCTCACCTATGTCACGGAGCGCATCATCGCAGTGTCCTTCCCCGCTGGCTGCTCAGAGGAGTCCTACCTGCATAGCCTGCAGGAGGTCACACGCATGCTCAAGTCCAAGCATGGGGACAACTACCTGGTGAGTGGGCAGGGCTCCAGCCTCCACAGTGTGGCTGAGGGGCTCTAGGCAGGACTCCTTCAGGAGACACTTGTGAGGGTAGGCATGTGTACATCCTTTGCTTACAAATGAGGAGCAGGCTCGGGTTTGTACCCCTACACATGAATGTGCATGTTGTATGTGGGGGATAGGCCCTGTATGCTGCCCTTCAGCTACTCACTTTGAAGGAGAGAGGTATGTACTCCCACAGGCTGTGCCATGTACCGACAGTTGACTTCTGGGGTGTCTGCAACACTGTCCAACACGAGCGAGGTGTCTTGTCAATGAGGTTGGCTCCTGGCACTACAAGCATTCCTAGTCAACTACCCCCAGCTAATACCAGGTGGTAGCCCTGGCATAGAAGGCAGCCCTGTCTCCTCCTGCTGTCCCATGCATTGGAAAGGCAAGAGGATGGGTAGCTAGGAACCAGGGCCTGCCGTGGGGGTGAGTACTTAGCCTGATTTCAGAGCACATGTGTACCCTCAGATGAAGGAGCCCACATTTGGGTAAAAGCAGAAGCCTGGCCCCTTACCCTTCTCTCTCTCTCTCTGATTGGCTCTGTTCTTTTCCCAGGGCTGCTAGCCCCATGGAGCTCTTTCCTGCTGTTGTAATCACTACTTAGATTACAGTACAGCTTCTTAGCACCTTCTCTCTTCCTGCCCTTATCTAGGGAGAGCTAATCTTACAGAGCCAACAAGGAGGTAATTGTCACCCTTATCAGTCTTCTCCCATGACCAGACTTGAACTCAGTGGGGACCTATATGGCAGAGCGGGACATAGCTAGCCTCTGTTCACTTTTGGAACAGCCAGGCCCAGCCACCTGGGGCTTCCAGAACAGTCTCTTCTACAGGAGGTCTCAAAATACCTGGACTCCCGGAGGCCCAGCCTGGTTGTGGGCAGAGAGTGGCATCCTAGTCTCCAAGATGGCCACACATTTCATGAGGCCCAGAACTGCCTCTACTACCATGTGTGATCTCTTCAGGACCCGGGTTCCTTTCTGAGGAGACTGTGCCCAGGCTGGTCCCTTTCTCCTGCCCCTCCCAAAGAGAATGCTAAGGGCCATCTCGACCCCACAAACCAATTATGGAAAACACTCATGGTGATGCATCTGGTCAGTCCATGGTGTCCTGGACCCTCTGTGGAAGGACAGCTGAGTGCTGGTCATTCCAGCAGGGCAGGAACAGGGCTGACACAGAGGGCCCAGAAGGCAGCTCGGGCTAGGCTAGAAATGAACCATGAGTTGTACCAGGGCACAGGTGGTCTTTTGTTGGACTTGATTCCACAGGCAGCTGTGGTTTGTTGTGACCTTGGGTGGGGAAGGCTCTGTATAGGTCACGAATGTAGCCCTTTCAATACCTGGTCTACCACATGAAGGAGCAGTATCTGACCCCAGGATATCCTTTCTCCTGAGCAAGACCAGTAAGAGCCATGCTACAGACGTGTGTGTGCATGCATGCGCGCACACAAGCAGATCTCGTGCATTAGAATGTCTGTAGCCATTAAATGAAAGAAAAGGTAAAAGGGGCCTTGTCCATTTTGGTTCCCATTAACAAAAATAGAATACAGAATGTAGAAGTTTCAGGGGGCCATCCCTATTTTAATTTTATCCTGTGGCTACACACACAGTTCAGTCTTTCAGTCCTTGATTCCCGAGACCGCTTTGTGAAATGCAGTTGTGTGTTCTTCGTCCTAGCTGGGATCCATGACTTGTCTAAAATCCTTTTTTCTCCTTTGTAGGTATTAAACCTTTCAGAGAAGAGATATGATCTTACAAAGCTTAATCCAAAGGTATGGAGTTTATTTCTTTATATTCTGATTTTGGAAAGTGTGAGGAGTGCTTGTTCACTCTGTGCAGAAGTAACTTTTCAGGGGCCTTTGTGGGATGTGTTTTCATAAGGGATATTAAAGATTATTAATTTCCTTTGGTTACTTTTAATTTAAAATTTAAATTTTTTAAATAATAGATTCATAGTAAGCCAGGTGTGGTGGCACATGCCTTTGGTCCCAGCACTCAGGAGACAGAGGCAGGCAGATCTTTGTGAGTTCAAGGCCTGCCTGGTTTACATAGTGAGTTCCTGGTCAGCTGGGGATACAGAGAGACCCTGTCTCAAAACAAACAAACAAAAAACAAAAAATGGATTCATAGGAAATTGGACATATACTCTAGAGAGGTCTTACATATCCCTAACCCCCTCTTTCTCAGGGGCAGCAGCTTATAAAACTAATACAGGTCCAGCAACCCTAACCCAAAAATCTGAAGTCCAAAATGCTCAAAGCTATAATAGGCTTAAAAGATGATTCACTGGTTAAGAGTGTACACTGTTCTTGCAGAGGACCTGAATTTGGTTCCCAGCACCCACATTGGACAGCTCACATCCACCTGTAACTTGAGCTTCAAGGTGATGCAACACCTCTAACCTTTGGCTTCCACACTCAACTGTGCTCACACAGTCATTCTCCTCCACCATACACATCAAAAAATAAAATTAATCTTAAAAAGAAAAGCTAAAACTTTTTGAGTGTCAACATGACACCATGAAGGAAAAATTCCATGCCTTGGAAACTTCGTTTTATATACAAATATTGATAATGTTATGTAAAATTACCTTTAGGCTCTATGCATAGGGTACATATGAAACAAATGGATTTTGTAATCAGATTTGGGTCTCATTTCCAAGATATCCTGGAAGTACAAATATTCTAGAGTAAAAATGGACAAAATCTAAAACCTGCCTGGCTTGGAGAAGAGACACTCACTTGCCAGGAGAGCAGCATCCCTGCAGCCCACAGATCTCATTTACGGTTCACATGTGCGTGTGCACTTCTCTGCCACTTCTGCATGTGTATAGATTTGTGCAGCCATCACTACCAAAGTACAAGAGCCTTTCCATTCCAATGAAGATGTCTCTTCTAAGACCTCCTTTTAAAAAAAAACAAAAAACTCTTTTGATGTATTTATTTTTATTTTATGTGTATGAGTTTTTTGCCTGCATATAAGTATAGCTCCTGCACATGCAATGCACACAGAGGTCAGAAGAAGGCATCAGCTCCCTTTGAGCTGGATTTGTGAACAGGTGTGAGCTGCCATGTGGATGCTGGGAACTGAATTCGGGTCCTCTGCAAGAGCAGCTGGTGCTCTTAACCCCGGAGCCACCTCCAACCTTTCTGGGATCTCTTAATGAGCCACACCCATCCCTTCCATTTATTCTCAGCATCAAGTTTAGAGATAAAATTAAGACTGTGGTTGGGACTAAGAGATGGCTCAGCAGTTAAGAGCACTGGCTGCTCTTGCAGAAAACCCATGTTCAATTCCCAGCACCCATATGGTGGCTAACAACCATCCATAACTTCAGTTTGAGGCTATCTGACTCGACTCCCTCTTCTGAACTCCGAGGGCATTACAGGACACAGGTGCACTTACACACATGCAAACAGTACACTCATACATATAAAAATAATAGATAAAAATTTAAAAAAGAAAGTTTTTAAAAGACTGTGGGAGTATATATATTCTATATATTTTATATATTGGAAGGCTTTGCAGCCATTAGAATAAGAAATCCAGGCTGAACATGCCCAGCCAAAGATACAAAATGCTCTAAAATTCAAAACTTTTACATCATGTTTAAAAAGTTTTCAGATTTGGCGCATTTCTCATTTCAGGATTTGAGATTTTGGTTGTTCAACTGGTAAAGTCTGCAAATGCTAAATATCAGAAAAACTGAAGTGATTCTGGTCCCTAGCATTTTCAGTAAGGGATCCTCAGTCTACCCATAGTACAGCATAGAATTTGGCGTCTCAGTTATGCTGGGGGCACAGAGAAAAGACCCAGAGATTCATGAAGCTGTCATGCTGGCTGCTTTTGCATGGTATGAAATTTCCATTGCTTTTATACCATAGAAAAACTGCCTACCTTCCCCTTAAGAACTGAAGAGAGGAAAACCAGTACTCCCCTGTGACCTCCTGGGGTTATGGCCTGAGCAAAGCTGACTGCTGAAGCCTTCTCAGTGGTATTCTTTGTCAGGTACCAAACTAGAATGAAGGCTTGAAGGCCAGTCCTTGTCCTTTGCAGGAGTCTGTCTCAGAGGTGTGGGCGGTATGGCCTGTGAGGAGTTAGGCTCACTATATCCAGACTCCTTTTTATAGCTGGAGTGGAAGGCATTTGGCAGCAGCTTGGGCCACAGACAGCTGTTTTAGATCTTGATGGTTCTGGGTTCCTCTTAAATCAATCCTGAACCATTAACACCTCTGAAAGGCCTCTCTAGAATTGTCACCCAGCTACAAAGAGCATGCCGGCCCACGAGCATGCGGCCTGTGGGTAGCATGAAACCCTGTGCTCTTTTCAGTAAAGGAGCCTGGCCACAATGCTCACTGCCTTTCAGAAGAGGCCTACACAGCATCTTCCATGATACCAAAGGGAATTATACATCACTATGAGGTTACTACAGAAATGTTCAAAAGGCAGAAACTGAGGCAGCTCTTCTCTCTCCTTGCAGATCATGGATGTAGGCTGGCCAGAGCTGCATGCACCACCTCTTGATAAGATGTGCACCATTTGCAAGGCCCAGGAGTCCTGGCTGAACAGCGACCCCCAGCACGTGGTTGTCATCCACTGCAGAGTGAGTGTCCTTGCTTGCACATGCTTTGGGGGTCCAGCTGGGCTTCCAGCGTTAGAGGAGCCAGATGGCAAAAATCAGTGCTGGTCACAGGCCCCAGCTGATACACCGTGTTTCCAGGCTGACTGTTAGCTCGTGTGACATGTTGTTTTCCTCTTCATCCTCATAAAAACAATAACAGAGAATCCCCAAGCCTTCAACATTTGGATTTAGAGTTCACAGGACTGATGTATCTGGTGTTGCTGGACTTTTTAAAGCAGTTTGCTGTTCATTCTACTTGCTTGCTTTGAATTTTAATGAATTGAAAAGATTTGTAACATGATTTAAAACATATGGGTTCCCAAAGGCGGAATCATCACCTCGAGGTTTTCACCCTCTTCGCCCTTCCCTGAACTATTCTGGGCTCTCTGTTCATGGACCATTAGGAGCTCATTTCGAAATACTCCCCAAATGTGCAATGAGAGATAAGCTGTCTTTTAATTTGAAATTGTGGATCCGAGCTTATTCAAAGTTCACCATTACCATGACTGCAGGGTGAGAACTGGAGCCATTGGCAGTCATCTGCTTGCTTTGCACAATGAGAGTTTCCTTTCACACATGTGGGGGATGACTAACAGACAGACCTGTCTCAGCTTGGGCAGGAACAGGGCAGGGCTGGGCTACTGAGCCCTTGTCCTGTTTGCTACAACGGGTTGTACTTTTGTGGTTTTTGTTCAATACCACCACATCTAGCTTCTTCCACAGGCCATTCCCCGTTGTTGGTTGAGTAGAAATAGACTGCACTTCTGGGTGAGTTCATCCACATCTACACCGTGTGTGGAGATCTGTGGTGAGGAACACTCCCAGAAAATGTTGTGGTCCGTGAGTCTATGACTTCTGTTACAGTCAGATTGGAACTGTGCAAGTCCAAAATGGACCGTGTTGTTGCCTATGCTAAAAGACCCTGGCTGTGCACGGATTCCACCTGCCAACTGTTTCCCTACAACCTGTGAGCTAAGAGCTGTTATGAAGATGCTACAGTGTTCACGCATGGTATTGATGGGAATGAGGCCATACCCATTTTCCTCCCACATCCATAGCTGCTCATACTTACACTGCACGTTGGAGAACTTGCACCAAGACCATGCTCTGTGAAGCCTAGAATGTTCTCCCAGTCTTCATATGAGGTCACTGCTGGCCTTGTAAGATGAGTTTGAAAGTGTCCCTCATCTTCAGATTTTTGGGGGCAAAAATTCTAGGATTGTCATAATTTCTTTAAATATTTGGTACAGTGCCCCATGGTGCCAAGTGGTACTGGGTTTTTTGAATGGAGATTTAGTACTGACTGGATAGCCTTTGTTCAGGTTTTCTGTTTGAGAGTCAGTTTGGGCAGGTTGTATGTTTTGAGGGTTTGCCCGTTTGGTCTGTGTGTCCAATTTGTTGGGCTATAGTTAATTGTTCACAGCAGTCTTCCTGGAGTCTTAATGTTTCTGTGCCATGACTTGTGATGTCTCCCTGTCATTTCTGTCCTCAGTTTTCGAGTCTTCTTTCCTTCTGTCTTAGTCCACCGAAGGGCTGGCTGATTTTGTTACCCTTTGAAAACCTCTCAGTTTTGTTGATCTTCCTACTTTTGGAATCTGTTCATTCTGCTGTGATCTTCGCTATTTTTTTCCTTCTTAACTTTGGGCCTAGTGTGGTCTTTTTTTTAGTTACTTGAGGTAGAAAGTGAAGTTTTTTATTTGAGACCTTTCTGTAGATGTGCCATTTATTGCTATAAATTTTCCCTTTAGAACTGCTTTTGCTGCGCCAGATACATTCTAGGGAGTTGTGTTTTCTTTTTTATTTGTTTCACTGTATTCCTGAATTTCCCTCTTGACTCCTTGTTTGACTGAAGTGCTCTACAGGAGCATGTTGTTTACCTCCTACATATCTGGGAACTTTCCAGGTCTCCCTTTGTTTCTGATTCATGATTTCACACCATGGCAATCAGGAAAGATACTTGATAGGATTTCATTCTTAAATTTGTTGAGGCTTGCTTTGTGTCCTCATGAACTACCCAGAGGCTGTTCCATGTGCCCTGAAGCAAGCATGTTCTGCTGCCATTAGAGGAATGCTCTATCCATGTCTAATAGATTCATTTGGTCCAAAGTGTAGTTTGGGACTGAATTTCCTTAGCAATTTCCTGTCTAGTTGATTTGTCAGTTGTTGAAATGGGGTACAGAGGTCCCTGCTATTGCTGTAATGCTCTCTCTCTCTCTCTCTCTCTCTCTCTCTCTCATTACCTTTTAATATTACTTTTGTACCCATAACAGGTGCAACAAAAATGACTGCCAGTCAGCCACAGTAAAGGCTTCTGAGTGGAGGCCTGTTTTTGACTGGGGTGATGTTTCCTTATACATGAATTTCTGTTCTTAAGACAAATAGATACAAATATTTTATGTAAGAAACACATTAGTTATAGTTAATAACTGCAAGAATCAGGGTCCCACTGCCAAGAATTTACCAAGTGTCTGTGTTGGTGTATGCAAACATGCCCTGTTTGCTGACAGTCACATGATGATTGGTTTATGAAAGCTCTGAGTTTGTCATTCAGTTATTTTTAAGAATAGAGCTGGGGGCGGGGGATGTTGCTAAGTAGTAGAGTGCCTACTTTGTATGCAAAAGGCCTGATCCTCAATACTGGAAAGGAGAGAGAGAGAGAGAGAGAGAGAGAGAGAGAGAGAGAGAGAGAGAGGCAGACAGAGACAGAGACACAGAGAGACAGAGAGATAGAGAGAATATAGAATATAGAGTTAGGGAGCTAAAAATTAGTGGCTCTGCCAGTTTGGTTTGTGTGATTTGGGATAAAGGTTTTGCAAACTTTTTTAAAAAATATTTTATTTATTATTTTCATTCTGTGTATATATGAGTGTATTGCCTGAATGTAGGTAAGTGCACCTGTGTCATTTGGTGCCCACGGAGGACAGAAGAGGCCATCGGATCCCCTGGGACTGGAGTTACAGACAGTTGTTAGCTGCCATGTGGGTGCTGGGATTCGAACCCAGGTCTTCTGCAAGAACAACCAGTGTTCTTAACCGCTGAGCCACCTCTCCAGCCCAAACAAACTTTTATTGAAAGAGCTAAGTAGCGTTTTAGACTTCTCAGGCCATGTGGTCCTGCAGGGTGGGTGGGAGCTACTATAGTGGAGCAACTAGGTTCCAGGCAGACTTGATGACAACATTCAAGCTTCATGTGGCCTTCATATGCCTCACAATCCAATTCTATTTTGATTATTTTTATAGTGCTCTAAAAATGAAAGAATATTTCTTGGCTCATAGACTGTAGGAAAAGAGGTGGTGGACAGAACTGACTTGTGGGTTATGATTTGCAGACCCCTGTTGGTGGGTTGCAACAATATATTCTAGAAGTCAGTCTAGTCTGTGGTTCTAGGTGGGGATGGCCTGTCATTAGAGCTTCCACTTCTACTGTTGATGATGTTGGCCATGAATGCCTGTGATTGTGGAGAGGACAAGTTCCATAGCACGTGCCTGGGACCTGGTCCCCCGTGTGTAGAGCTGGGTGAGGGAAAAGCAGAGTTTGGTGGTGTTGGGCACTCACTGGTGTAATGATGCCACCAGCTCACTAGGATCTGAGGTCCTCTTCCTCTGCGCTGTGCACACAGCCGTGTTGCTGTGAGCCCCTGGGCAGGCATTCACTCTGTTACACCTGGGTAATTAAGTCATGCTAATTGGTGCAGTTCCTGGCACAGTTTCTACCTGCCTAATTGGGAGGTGGTGAATGACTGCCTGCCGCCGTGTGGATATGCCCTCCAGGGCATCTACAGATACCCAGTTAGCATCTGCTCTTGCTATGGGCCCCTGTGTGAAGGTTCCCTGTCAAGGAGACTGTGCTGTGTTGGGCACTAGTGCTCTAGCAGCAGGGAGGCAGAGGGGTAAATACACATTCTCTGTCATTCTGATAGTGACTGAGTGTGCTCCTGTCTCATTTCATCTCTATATGGGATTCTAGAGAACACTGATTCCTCTGTGGTCTCCTGCAGGGCGGGAAAGGACGCATTGGAGTGGTCATATCATCCTACATGCATTTCACCAATGTCTCGGCCAGGTAGGATGGAGATGGGGGCCTGCTGCTATGGGGTATTGGGAGCTGGGATTGCTTGATGTGGGCGACGTTTTTCCTGGGGATCCTTCTGATCCTACTTCTGTCACTTAGTACCAGAATGTTCTGTGTTGAAGCCCAGTGAGGGTGACAATGATGTTCTCCTGTTCCTTGGCTTCTCCCATGTAACCCACGGGGCAGCGGGCGACGTTTTTCCTGGGGATCCTTCTGATCCTGCTTCTGTCACTTAGTACCAGAATGTTCTGTGTCTGAAGCCCAGTGAGGGAGACAATGATGTTCTCCTGTTCCTTGGCTTCTCCCATGTAACCCACGGGGCAGTTCTTATTCCTGTTGCACAGATGAGGAAACTGAAGCCCAGAAATGTTGAACAGTAATTGTGGGGACTCTGAGGGGCCACCTCGATTCTTTCAGAGGGGTGTGACAGACACTGTAAGGCCACAAGCACCTTGGCCTTGGTCTAGCCGTCCAGGCACTGGACAGTCGGGGTGTCCTGATGTGCTTTCAGAGGCACAGATCTCTACCAAGGCTGAGATTCAGTATAGAAAATGTCACTGATGGAGTATAGCTCAGTTTTGTACACTTGCTTGGTGTATGCAAGACCTCAGATTCCTCCCCAGTACTGTGTAAGAAAAGAAAATACCGTTGCTAGTAGCTTTTGCCTGGTCTTCTCAATGGCAGCCTTGTGAGCCCAAATCACTCCATACCAAGGAAATAGAAGCCTGCTTGTGTCACCTGTGAACCTTTTCCTTTGCAGTGCAAAGGAGTGAAATTTGACTTTTGGAATTTTTTCTCTGGAAACAAATCAGGAGGCTACTGCCTATCAGGGAGGAAATCCTACCCCAGGCTGAAAACCAGAACCTCTCCGGGTGAGAATAAGCATCATGTGTGTGCCAGAAACATCCAGATTCCTGGTCACACTGACCCCTCAGTTATGCCAGAGGAATTTGGTTGGAGACTGCCCTTGGCTCAGGTGGTTCTCGGCACAGACCACCCGAGCAAGTGTATCTATCCCTCACAGCTCAGTTCTGCTTAAAGTTCCCCAAATTTCAGATACTGTTGTGTCTGAGGAACCCAAGAACAAGCGCCTTGCTCCTTCAAAAGCATAACACTGTAAGACCCTGCATTCCCTGGTAGTTAGTATATCACATACAAGTGTCAGGACACTTGCATGAGTCTCCCTGGGCCCCAGAGTCCTGTCTTTACCTGGGCATAGTAGTTGAACCTTTGCAGGTGTCGTGAGCATTCTGTATGTCTGTAGAGTGCTTAGAATAGTGTTGTACACAGATATGAATAGCCCTCGATGCTGCTGTTCAGCAGGAGTCACTGTCTTAAGTATTATCCAATTAAGTGGACTGATATCACTGTACTTTTTGTCACTTGCTCTTCTAAATTTGCAACACATCCTAGGTACCTGCTCTGGCACTGCTCTAGAGGCTGCCCAGCTCTGCGTTTCATAGATATAGTACTGCATATTTAAGCATTTGCTGGATTTTTGCCTACCCAGGTTGCTTTCTTTTTTCTTTAAAATGTAGCTTGCTTCTGCAGAGCTTGCTGTGGTAAGCACACTCTTATACAAGTGTCTGATAACACCTCCCCCCACCTCTTAGGTTGTATTGTAGACATTACAAGGGACACACACTTGGTTAAGGCTTTTGCACAAACTACAAGTAGCAGTAAACAGAGACTTCCAGTCATAAAGTGAGAACATTCTTGTTATCAGTACTCTGAAAAAGGAAGAGTTCAAAAGTCAGAACGAGAACTAATGATACTAAAACCAAAGATACTCTGAATACCGAGCATCAACATTGGCCTTGTATTCCCAGCATTTAATTGAATAAATGGATTCCAAAAAAGAAAATGCTTAAAAGTCAAAGACTGGCTGAGGTCTTAGAAGACATATCCACTTTCTGTGTGGAATGTTCTGGGCTCAGATGGACCCCTCGGTCTGTGACAAGCCCCTTGTGAGTTAGCCATTGTTTAGTATTCAGTGAAAGTCAACTAACCATATTAAACTTGATTTTGAATGTTTTCCTTTGTCCTTTTTCTCATTTCTGCTTATTTTTTTGAGACTCTGTCATGTTCGCAATCCTGAATGTGCCATTTTTCTGTGGAGAAGGCTCATGTGCCTATCAGATTTTTTTTTTTTTTTTTGGTCTTTTTTAAGGAAGCTTTTGGTTCAATACATCTCCATTAAGAATCATTGCAGTTTTCTTCCATAATTTATGCTTAAGTCACGTCAGAAAACCTAAGAATGACCCAGTGAGGTTTCCAGAAGGTTCTATAAGTGGAGGAGAAGGTGGAGGTCAGATAAGCTGCTGGAAGGTGGGTTCACTTTCTGTAGCGTTACCTTAGAAACAGGTACGCGGCCCTGAAGCCTTGCACATCTTCCCAGCCACCAAGGCTGCCTTGTCCTCAGCTTTCTTTAGTCTGTCCCTACAGTCACTCACTGAGTACCCCAAACTCACTTTCGGAACTTCTCAGAGTGTGTACTGTGCATACATTCTAGGCTTGTTCCTCACATCCTCATGGTCTAGACGCTGGGCCACCTGCTGTCTGAGAACCCTCAGTCAGTTCCTTTACCTGCCAGACAGCGGCACATCTAAGTATCACACCCTTAGATAAGGGGCCGGTGCTGTGGACAGGAGTTCAGACCTATAGGTGTGGCTCCTGCTTTGAACTGACCGCACTCCGGCAGAGAAATGCTGGGCTGTGGCGTGGACACGTGAGGCTCCTGTCCTAACAAACAGGATGTGCATCCCAGCCATTCAGCATTGCGGTGATGGGGGCGCTGCTGACTTGACATTTTCATTCATTCTCCCTCTTGCTCTGTTTCCCCAGTGCTGACCAGGCCCTGGATAGATTTGCAATGAAGAAGTTTTATGATGACAAAGTTTCAGCTTTAATGCAGCCTTCCCAGAAGCGGTATGTATCTATTCTTGCCCTAGAAAGCAAAGTGAATGAGATTTTTCTTTTCTAACTTCCAAAAAAATTAAGACAGAGGAGGCATGTCCTCTGACCTCTCCTCTGCATTGCTTAGGGTCTTGCCTAAGAATAGGAGGGAGGGACTCACTGCTGCCAGAGGTGGGGATGTGAGCCGTCATAGGTGTCTAGTAAGAGCCTTGTGTCGTGTGACAGTCTCCACACTGTAACTCATTCCCAGAGAGGAAGACCCAGAGCATCCTCTCATTTCAGCCGTGGGGGAACCTTTGTGTCTTGCAGAGATTGGGCTTTGATTTCCATGCTCTTGTTGGAACTTACTTCTGTCTGCTAGCCAGGAATCAGTAAACTTGACCTAGAGGCCGGAGGCTGGATGTTTCAGGCTCTGTGGTTTTACTCAGCAGTGTTCTAACACAGAAGCAACCATATGCAGTATGGAAATGAGTGATTCTGATGGAGTCTAATAAAAGTTTACTAGCACAGATGGAATTGCAGATCACCACAGGCTAACTCCTACTATACAGCATCAGCTTCCTGAATTCAGAAAGAACAGCTCTTTTATGTTTCTTGCCACCCCCTGTCCTGTTGCCCCAGGTGGTAGGCCCTGGAAATGTTGAGGGGCAGATATGGGGGAGCAGAACTTTGTTTTTTTTTTTGCCTCCTGGTCTGCTTCTCTGAGGTCAAGAGGAACCTGAGTGGGGTGGGGTGAGAGACAGTGAGAGAGACCTTGCTCCTTCCAGCTGCCCTTCCTCTACAGATGGTGGCACCAAGCACATAGGATGGTGGCCTGTGGAGTCAAGCACATAGCTTCATTGCATTTTTATCTTAAGCCAAACATCAGAATTTGTCCAAGAATTGCCAGGGCAGTTGCAAAATGCTTTCCATTTTGGAGACAGTACCTTTAGCCTTTTGTATGTGAGTCTTGATCCTCTACATCTGTTTTCTCTAGATCAACTGCAGGCTGGGCCAGCAGACAGTGACATTTTTGCTATGGGTGTTTCTAGTGGTCTGTGTCTACTCATACAAGCCTGGGATTGGAGGAATGTGGGCTGCATTGTGGGACCATGGGTTGGAGCTGGGCTGTGTCCTCTTCTAAGCAACAGGCCCCACAGGGAAGTCACTTGTGCAAACCGCAGTATATCATGAGCAGTCTACTTAAACAGCCCTTGTTCTGTTTTGAGCCCATGAAGTGTTATTTTTACACTGAGCAATTTCCTAAAAGACAGCATTTATACAAGCTGCTCAGAAGATGAGGTACAAACACGGTACAGGCCCCACAAAGTGCCTGAACCCAGCAGGCAAACAAGACTGCCAGCATTTTAGATTAAAAGAGTGTGTAGGAGAAACAGGAAAAAAAACCATCTCATTTTAATGTGCTTATAAGGGCTGGAGAGATGGCTCAGCAGTTAAGAGCACTGACTGCTCTTGAAGAGAACCAGGGTTCAGTTCCCAGCACATACATGGTAGCTAACAGCCATCCATAACTCCAGTTCCAGGGGATCTAATGCCCTTTTCTGACCTCCATGGGCATTGTACAACATGGGTGCACTTACATACATGCAAGCAAAACACTTATATACATAAAGTATAAATAAATAAATAAAAGTTTAAAGTCTAGTTTTCACATATCCTTCCTGCTTTTACACATTTTCTTCTGTAGTGCTTACATTTGACACTGATAGCAGGGTTGAATTTTACATTCCAGTGCTCTGTGCCCAAGATCAGGAGATGCCCTTCTTCCTGGCTCTTTGCCTGCTACTTGCACTAGAAGACACTAACCAAATAATCACCAAGTGGGTCAGCCACTGAATGCACACTGAGGATAAGCCTCGGGAAATGGTGAAGATCAGAACACATGAGCACTGCTGTCCTGGGGCTGTACGCCTCGCTGCTGTCGGAATGCCTGTGGACAGGGGCTGCTGCTCTGCAGGCTGTGTTAGGACCAAAGCCAAGAAACCGTTTCAAAGTCAGGATGACACTTATCTCTCTTGGGAATGATGGAGAAGCTTCAGATTTGTGGCTGAGACTCTCAACAATCTAAGCAGCCATTGACAGAGAAGGAGCCAGAGAAGAACCTTCCATGGGGGACTGAATCTAGAGCCTTTGTGAATACTAAAGTTTGAAGATGCCAAGATGTCCTTACATAAAATGGCCTGGCATTTGCATAGAGCCTATCTCTCTATCCTGTATACTCTATGCATTTAAAAATTTTCAATAGTGTACAAAATAATAGGTTTCATTACAGTTCGTATATATATGAAAATTACATTACATATATATGACACATACATAAAATCCAAGTTCAGCATGTGAGAGAACATGATATTTGTCTTTTTGACATCTTAACATGAAGAGCTGCAGTTCCATTTGTTTTCTCGTCACCAACATAATAACTTCATTATGATTATCTGTGCACTTTAAATCCTCTCTAGGTTGCATGTAACAATTCAATGTAAACATGGTATACCTAGTTGTTATGTTGTACTGCATAGGGAGTTATTTGAGGAGAAAAACCTGTACACGTTTAGTGGAGGTGCAGGCCCAGTATATTTGATTCCAAGCTGATTGAATCTGTGGATGCAGAACTTGTAAACACTAAGGCTGCTTTTTGGCTGGGTTTCACTGTGACTGAGCAGCCCCTAGTGGACAGCTGGGAAGTGGCGACCATCAAGAACAGGTTTCAGGGAGGAAAGGCTGGTTGAGTGCACAAATGTAAGCAGGCATCCTATCTACTGTAGTACCTGGGTGGGGCTGGAGCTTCTCCCCCTTCCTAACTAAACACCAGTGCACAGGTGGCCCTGGGCCTTGGCGTCCTCATCAGTCAGCTTGTGCAGAAGCAGAAATCTCCTATCATCTGCTGCTCCACAGTGGACAAAGTAGCTTTTTTTTTCTCTCTCTCTCTCTTTACTTTTTTTTTTGTGAGGGAGGGTATTTATTTTTGAGGCAGGGTCTCTTGTAGCCCAGGCTGACTTTGAACCTATGATTTTTCTGCTTCCTCCTCCTCATTCTGGGATTGCATGCATGTTGTCAATCCTGGTGAAAAAGTCACCTTTTACGTTGTCTGACACAAGAATAGCAATCTCAGCTGGGCTGCATCAGCTGACATGGAGACTCCCCTTCCACATGTGGAAAGGAGCTGATGGGAGGGAGAGGTCTTAGCTCCCTGAAGGATGGCTATTTTGTCTACATAGTGGGACTCACAAGTCATATCTTCGTGCTACAGAGCTACACAGCATTCCACATGTGTAGAAATGTAAACGGGCATCTTGTCCACTGTAGTACCTGGGTGGGGGTGCACATCAACACAAGAAGGTCCAGAGTATAGAGTGCCATCTCACTTGAGTGGTCACTGCACAGTCATCCATACCAGCTCCCAGGTTGCCACAGAGTTCAGGCTGGACTAGGCCCCATGCAGGAAGGGCAAACCAAGGACACAGATTTCTCACCCTCTAGGGCACTGGGAGGAGGGAAGAGCTGTCCCTAGACAAGATCTTGGGTACTGTATCATAAACCTCTGTGTCTGTTACCTTTGCTCAAGGCCACAGAGCCAAGGGTACTGATATGTTCTGCCATGACTAAGATGCAGGTGACTGACCAAAGATGCTTTTCCCTTCCTGTATCTGTACATGGCACATTAGGAAACCTTGCTGTCAGGGACAGCCCATAGAACAGTGTGGAGACTTGGTAATTCACTTGCTTGCCTGAATCTGCGGGACACCAGGCTTCTGCGACTTGTGAGGTTCTATCCTCTTCCTAACAAGAGTAGTCTGATGCTGGAAGAGCAAGACACTGACACCCTGTTTGTCATTATGAATTGTGCCTCCCATGAAGCAAATGCTTCTTATTATGCTAAAGTTTTCCTAGAGGGCAGACCTTAAGTATGAAAGTGACTCAAAATTTCCTATTGTTTGGTTTATTTTACCTCCAAATTCAGCTGCTGAACAAAGGGCTAGGTCTACATTCTAATGGGTATCACAAGTGTTTTCTTAGTACAAGGTGGGGCCTGATGGCTGTGTGTCCATCCTGGGCTCCCACAGGGACTTGGAAATGTGAGGACCCTGTATCGGTGATGGTCACTTCTTGCTTGGTACAGTTGTTGGCAGCAGAGACATGCACTGACCATTAGTTGGGTCCCATGTATGTTTGGGGTCTTGGGTTGTTTGGTTTCTTTCCCCTTGCAAACATTGCAGGACTTTGGTGGAGATAAACAAGAGAGCACATAAATTCCAAGAGACACAGTGGAACACCAAGAGAGGTGTTGCAGGCTATGGTGAAGGGTGTTTGAGTGCAGTGGGACCACTATGACGGACCTCGGGACAGTGACTGCCTCTGGGCTCTCAGGGGCACAGGAAGTAGGCACATCAGGCAAGGTACAGGGAGGGAAGGTGGAGGTTAAGGGAACACCAGAGTGTGACGAAGGTGTACCTCATATTCTGGTCCCTATTGCCATGTCATACCTCATGAGGACTCTGTGATCACGTCCTCCTAGAACACAAACTTCTCTCTTGACTGTCATGTGTGTGAAAGAGTGTGCATAGTCATCCTGGTTGCTTGAGGCCAGTGCCTGGAATTCATATGGCAAAAGTCACATCTTTAAGGTGTATGGGTGCCATGGGTGGCCTTGAGTTGGACCTTGACAAAGGAACTCAGGAGATGCATCGGACAGAGCAAAGGTTTGGGGCCATTGAGATCTGTGCTCCTCATGACTCCTGTGCAGGAATGGGGAACCTTAGGTGGAATGAGCTGCTGGGTCTGTGCCATGTGACTGTCACAGGTGCTGGCTTTACTGGTGAGGGGCTTGGGAACAGGTGAGGTGGCCTCCTAGGTCTGGGTGGCCATGTGCAAGAGTTGCTTAAGCCTCTGTATCATAGTGAAAGCAGTTGCCAGAGCTGTGGATGGTCCTCTCACTAGGCAGTAACATCCCCCAGGGTGTGGCTCAAGAGCCACTTAAAATATTTTTTGATTCATTTTTATTGTATGTGTATGAGTGTTTTGCCTGCGTGTAAGTGCATCATATCCATGCGATGTCTGCAGAAGCCAGAAGAGGGTATTGATCCCCTGGAACTGGAATTATGGACAGTTGTAAGCTGCCGTGTGATCCTCTGCAAGAATAGACAGTGCTTTTAACTACTGAGTCATCTCTTCAGCCCCCCAAGAGCCACTTTTTAAAAAAGACAGGGTCTCCCTATAGCCCCACCTGGCCTGGAATTGGCTGCGTGGACCAGGCTGACCTCCATCTCTCAGAGGTCCACCTGCCTCTGCCTCCCAAGTGCTGGGATTGAAGGCGTGTGCCATCACGCCCAACTCAAGATCTACTTTTTGTGTGTAGTGGGACAGGGTATCCCCAGGGCTTCTAGATATGGTTCCCACCAGCTGCCCTCGACACTCAACAGGTGAGAGTCAGCTGCGCAGTCTTAGCCTCTGCCCCCTGCAGGTACGTGCAGTTCCTCAGTGGCTTGCTGTCCGGAGCCGTGAAGATGAATGCCTCACCCCTGTTCCTGCACTTCGTGATCCTGCATGGTGCCCCCAGCTTTGACACTGGAGGAGGTGAGTGACTTCTCAGCCTAGACTAAGACTCCTCAACAAACCTCCCCTTTCCTCCTCCGATATCCAGGATCTCTACCTAGGCTACCTGGGGGTGCACACAGTCCCAGCGTATGGTCAGCACTCCGGCTTTGTGAGATGGGGCCAAGCAATGGATCATAGGAGGGCCAGACAGTCCGAAAGCGATCGTGACTAGCCCTGTAACCTGGGTACAGAGACTTTGGCAGGCCAGGCTCTTTCCAAGTCAGTTGTATACTTGGCCTCAGGGTTCATACAACTTTGAGAGAACCAGAATGAGAGAGCATACCTTGACTCAGGGTCTCATAGTCTTCCCTCATAGCACATGACTAGGGACTCTGTCCCCTCCCTACCTCACACAGCTGCTCATATGACCAGGAGCCCTGTCCCCTCTCTATCACATGCAGATGCTCACAGCCTAGCACGTGACTGGAGTCAGGACCTTTTCTCTCTGTCCTGTGCAGGTGTTCATAACACATGGCTGGAGGCAGGATCTGTCTCCTACTGCCTAGTTACACGTGGGTAGACACTCACTCTACAGTTCTTTTGTTTCAAAGTATCTGTGACTTCTAGTCCTCTTTGTCATCAGGAGTAAGGTGACTTTACTAAGCTACGGATACCTGTGAGGCCTCCTGGCCCCATTGTTTAGAGCCCCTGTCTCCCTCTGGTCCAGCTGTGTTCCTTTGTTAGCTGGACACGTGTGTTTGGCACTGATCCTTCCTTCCTTGACACGTGCCTCTCTTTCAGCGTGCCGACCCTTTCTGAAGCTCTACCAAGCCATGCAGCCTGTGTACACGTCTGGGATCTAGTAAGTACCTGGCTTATGTGGGAGTATTTGGGGTGGCTCAAGAGACAGTCATGAAGCATGCTGTCTCTCTCATGGGAAAGAGTGAAACAGTGGGGCCAATAATGCCAAGGGGCTCAAGGAAGTGCCCAAACTGCTACTCTGAGCAGATGTCTGGTCCCTGCTACTCCAGTTGGCTCCATCAGGAGCCTGGACAGTAGAGCCTCCAGGGCAGAGTGAACCAATGCTGTGTGGAAGTGGGTATACTGGAGAGCTAGAACAAGGTCTTCATATAGTTTTTCTTTCTCTTTTTGATTTTAGACATCCTCAGAGTTTGTATAGCTTTCTGAGTTCTGTTTGTAGTGTGTGGGGGTAGTATTTTGCTTGCATTAATGAAAAAGGAAAAGAGAACGAGCGTTCTAGCACTCAGAGTTGTCATCCCCTTTCTGGGTTTACGACGGCCCCTCCACACGTGGATGACGCTGTGGAGTTATGTCCTCAGCTTGTCACATAAGTGGGGCCTGTCCTTGCCTTGACCCTTATCTCCTGACTGAGACAGCCTTTGCTGAGCATGGCCTCTCCAGTCTGGGGCCGTGATAATGCCAGGAGAATGCACCCTGGTCTGGAGCTTTCTTGAACCTTTGACTCATTTCCATAGGTAGAGTCTCAAGACTTGAATTCTGGGCTAATTGGAACATTTCATGCCAATTCTGAGTTTTCAGCTTATATGGTTCTGTACTGTGGTCATGAAATCATGGCTTTGCATAATGATCTACCTTCTTGTATATCCGAAGCAATGTTGGTCCAGAAAACCCCAGCAAGATCTGCATTGCCATAGAGCCGGCCCAGCTGCTGAAGGGGGACATCATGGTGAGTGTCGTGTGCTGTATCCATTGCCCCTGCCCACCCAGGATAGTGACACAGAAGGAAAATTAATTCTGTCTTAAAACAAAACCACCCTGTTTCCAATGCCCTTCTAAAAGAAAAGAAAATAATACCTACAGGAGAATGAAAAACAACCTTTACTCTAAGGCCTTTGTTTAATTTGTGAACAAATTATTTATATGAAAGCTACCGATGTTTGTGTCTTTGATGGTCTCTTATCTCACATGGTGGCTTACAGTCACCTGTAATTCCAGTTCTGAGGATTTGACAACACCCTCTTCTGGCCTCCATGGGCATTGCATGACATAGGTACACTTATAAACATGTAGGCAAAATACTCATGCATAAAATAAAACTAAATAAATTCTTTTAAAAAAGTAAAATACGGCCAAGTGTAAAATACAGCTGGTAGTGTTGCAGCTTGGTTAGTGATTAAAATGGAGATTTCTCCAGATTGATTTTGTTTCTTGGGCGTGTTGGTTCTTGGAGGAGATTAAATGTTACCTTTTCGTCAGTTGCCTATCTAGAATACAAAAGAATCTGTTCATGTAAAATAATTTTAGGAAATATTTTGTCTGAAATAAGGATAAACCTGCAAGGCATGTGTATGTACAGCTTCCAGCCTGTGTAGAGTAATTTAGATAGGATCGTGTCCTTGACAAACCTGCCTGGTTGAGATAGTAGAGTGATTTAAGAGCTTGCTTTGCATTTTATAGCTTTAGAGTTCTTGAAAATACTCATTAATTTACTCTGAAAATTTGAATTTAAAAATCCTCTCTTCGTGAATGGGGAAATCCCCATTCATTAAAACAAAACCAGGACTTAGGAGTAAAACTCAGTGGTCATGTGTACTTAGCGTTCATGAGGCCCTGGATTTCATCCCCAGCAACACGCACATACACGCCACAAGTTCACGAGCCTGTTGAGATGGAGACCCCAGCGACACGTCATACTACTGAGACCTCTTTGTGCTGTCTCTCAGGGTCTTGCCCACTTCGGAGAGTAGATTCTGTAGGTTGAGATGGTGCCTGGGAGAAAAGAGATCAGTGGGAGCAGCGGCCATGTGTCTAATTCTGGGCCTGCTAGATGTTGTACACTGTACAGACAGTCTTCCATTCAGGTGGCAGCCTGTGGGTACAGGAACACATTCTCAGTTCCCAGGCAGAAGGCTGAGCTTCGGTCCTGATAATCATCTGTCTCCTTTAAGTGCTCTGACAACATACAGGGCCTGCAAAGCAGCAACAGTGTGACTCCCAGTTGAGTGAGAGGTGGGCAAAAAGAGAGACCTATTTTTACTGCCTCTTGTCTTCTAACCAGGCATGCAGCTATGAACTGTGTCTAGAGCCTTCTGGGGTTTTCTGTCAAAATGCTGAGTCCTTAACTGAGCATCTGATGGGCCAGTATCGGCCAAAGCTTTACACAGCTGTGGCTTTGAACACCACCTTCTCCAAAATAGGGTTAGGTGTCCAACTTTAACAGAGGTCAGGAGGGCTGGTGGCACTCTTTCTTCTTGTCCTGTCATAGCTTCTCTGTCAGAGTTGGCCTCTCCAGAGTGGGTGGCTCCTTGTTTTCAAGGACAGGTATAGTGACACCCGTGTCTCTGTATAGTGAACCACAGAGTGTGGTGGAAAAATTGAGATGTGGAGGGTGACTGGAGGCTCCCTGTCTCCTTCATTTCCCAGAAGAGAAAGGCTAAGCCACCACCCAATCTGCCGTGGACTGGTGGCTGCTGAGTTCTCTGAGACCAGAGAGTGGAGGCAATCCGAAAGCTAGGTCCCCTGGAAAGGGCCAGCTGTCCTACCTGTCTCCTCTAGCTGTCTCCCTCCCTCTACCTGCTCATCTTTTGGTCTTTTTTCCCTCCTTCCCTCCCTCCTTTCCTTTCTTTCTCTTTCCCTCCTTCCTCCCTCCCTCCCTCCCTCCCTCCCTCCCTTCCTCCTTATCAATTTTTACCCAGTTATCCTTTTATCCTGAATATTTGCGACTCTTCTGAGTTTCTACTCTTGGCCCTGGGCGCAGGAAGGATGGAGGTGCCGAGTGACTTCTTCACCTTGAAAGTTCCTCCTGAGGATGTGGGCTGTTTTGCAGGAGGGGACTGGCAGATGCTGTGTAGGCCAGAGGGGCCTCAGGTTAGACATGCCTGTGACTCAGGCACTAAGATGCCAGGCTGGGAGGGCGTAGTTCAGGAAGGCCGTGATATCTTAGTCTGTTACTCCTTGGGAACACCTTCCTTACCATGCCTGTCTATGTGAGGATACCTGTCATGTTGGAAAGGGGTATACTTGATTACTTTTCTATGACCTGTGCCTAATGAGGACCATACTTGGGTTTTGTGAGGATGAAAGGAATGAACTTCCCATCAGTCTCCTAGGACAATACCTTACAGGGAAGGCCATGACGTGTCATCTCAAAGCATTTCAAGCCCTTGTCACTACCAGAGAGGCCATGGCTCAACCTTGGGTGGTCACCCTATCCTCTCTCTGGGTGAGTTCCTAGCTGGGCACCTCTTACCACACTCCTCCCATTGAACAACCCTGAGTGTGTCCTGCCCCATAGTGGGCACCACAGTCAGAACATGGGGTCCCAGTAAACACTATGTGTGTTGTGGCCACTGGAAAGTGGCTCTGAATAGGAGATGTAGGACTGTTTGGAGGGTCCGGGGTTAGAAAATAGCAGTTGGCACTGGGTCACTGAGGTGAGTCAGGAAGAAATCCCTGGGTGACACAGGGAGGGAAAGGAGCCCTGTGTGGGCGAGGGAGGTGTTTAGTGGTGGGCATGCCTGGACTTGGCTTGTACCTAGCTCTATGTACCCTGATAGCTTGAGAAGCTGGCTGCCACTTATGCTGAGGAAAACAGTCCTGTGGATTATTCCTACTTATCAAGTGTTTGGGTGAAAGATGATGCCAACCGGGCATCCAGAGGTCACATGGAGGCAACATGTCTATGACCCATGGCTCTTCAGTCATGTTCCTAAGTAGCCTTTTTTATGGGACCGTTCACTGCAGGGTCTGCACTGGTCTTGTCCCAGCATAGACAGGGCCAGAGGTGAGGGCCAGAGGTGAGGTGCCATCCTCTCCTGGCCCTCATTGGAACTGTAGTGAGAGAGTGTGAGGGAACTGCTAGAACGATATTGGAGCCTTCCCGAAAACTTTATTTCTGACTTGAACATACAAATCCAGTCAGTGCAAGGAGAGAGGGACCCTCTAAGGTGGCAGTGGTTGGGGTGTGTCAGGGATGCAGTAAGTAAGGCATTGAGTCAGGGTGTACATTGAAGATAGCAATCAAGGCTGTGGTACCACTGAGGGCATCTCCACATCTCCTCTCTTTTTAGCCCTTGGGAATTGTGAGATCTAGGACTGGGTGCAAAGTTCTTGAGTTGCTATGTGTAATTTTCTATAGTCACTGAAGCAGAGGGAGCAGGGCAGGGACAGTAGTAGCTTCAGTTTGGGCAACGTGCCATGGAGAACAGTGCTGGCCTTAGTACCAGAAGCAGCTAAATGAATGTGGAACGGTTTAGGGAGCAGGAGTAGGGGTTCAGATGATCCCAGAAACCAGTGGGCCTATTCTGGGTGGGGTCTGCTGACCATGAAGCATAGACAGGGCCAGAGGTGAGGCACCAACCTCTCCTGACCGTCATTGGAGCTGCAGTGAGAGACTGTGAGGGAACTGCCAGAACTGAGAGACCCAGGCCCATGTCGGGTACGGACTTGTTTTAAAGTGTGCCACAGTTAAATTTGATTGTAAGTCTTGTGTTGACTTTGCATCAGGAAGACAGGCTATGTTGGTTGAAGGTGGTTGGTAAGCAAGGGCCCCTCCTTCTTGATGGTCTCCCTGACTAACTTCACCTATTTGGGCTGGCACTGCTGCACTTAGGGTGTGAACACTGGGATGTTTGCAGACCATAAGAGCTTATTTCTCCTGGTTCTGCAGACTGGCAGTTTCTGTATCTGGTGGGGACCTGGTTTCTAGTTCATTAGGGCACCTTCTTCCTATGTGTCCACCAGAGGAAAGGGGTCTGGAATGTCTCCTAAGGTACTCATGACATTCACAAAGCTTCTGCTTCCTGACCTCATCACGTATCAGAGCTCCCACATTCTCATAGTGTCACTTGGGGTGACGGGGACACAAACAACCCACAGCACAGATCAGCATCTCCTCTCTTGTCCTGGGTGCTGCCTGACTGGTCTCCGCTCTCTCTGGAGTTTCTCCGTCCTCCCTTGCTAGTTTCCTCAGCTCCTCTCTGGTGACCAAATCTCCCTGTCGCCCTTCTCTCTAACCCAGACTTAGAAAAGGCCAACATGAGCCCAGACTCTTTACTTCTCAGCTTAATGATGGTGTCCTTTCCTTCTCTCCATGATAGCTCTGATGCTGTGTCTGTGTGCTTGATCAATGAGCCCTGCCCTCTCTAATGGCATATTCTCTTTCCCTGGTCTCAGGACTGAAGTCCCACTGGAGCAGAGCTTTCCCCAGCTGCCTGGCAGCTGCTTTTGAGCTCCTGTCTGCCAGGCTCTCCTCCCTCGTACTTCTTAGCCTGGCTTTCATCTTCTCCTGATGTTTGCTGATTCGAACTCCTATGTCCTTAACCCAGTATGATCCCCTGACTATCTTGGGCTGCCTTTGGTTGACACCGTCACTCTTACTAGGCTCTGCTGGTGTCTGGGACTCCACACTTACCACAACCCTAAACTGTACACTTGAACTTCATCTCTGGCCACCTTCCCCAGCCTAGATCTTGTCAGCTGTGCATGTCTGACTGTCTAAGAGTCCTGTCTCTGGTTACCAATGTGATGCCCTGCCCCAGAAAGCTCAGCACCTAGATGTAGAGCTTTTTCCATCCTTGTCTTTGTGGACTTCCTTCTTGTCTTCATGGGCCTTATCAGTCACTGTCATTCTACATTATAGACTCAGGACTCAGGCTGAGACAGACATTGTCTAATCAGGGCCATATCTTGCAAATCAGCCAAGCCAGGCTGTCCAAAGACCATTCA